TGGTTTGATTTCTTTGTATGTATGGATCACTTGGGTTGTTACCAACATCTGGTGAAAATTTCATGTCATTAGCACCTGTAGTAATATATTTACTGAGAAAAATGGTGACGTGTTCAATACTTATTTTACCCGCTGTATCTGCTAACAAAGGTGATTAAAACAAAATGTTGACTCATGAATGAAGCAGATTTAAAGACACAAACAGCCTTACCGGGTTCTGAAAGGAACACACTGTGTGAGGACGCTGGACACCTCAGGGACGTCCACAGGCAGGATTCTCTGTTCAGAACGTGGGGTGGAGCAGCTCAAGGCACTGAAACATGGTGAAGAGGACTCTTGTTGAAGCTTTGGTGTCGCTGGAACGTCCTACAGAAACAGCAGGTCAGGAGGAGTTATCCTCTCACTCAAACAACCCAAATCATCCAGGACCAGGTGGTCCAAGACGTCTGGAACACACGTTTCCCCCCGACTGACTGCTGTCCCACCAAGAGAAAACAGCTTCAAATGAAACATAAATAAAATCCAGATCTTGTGCTAACAGTCTAATATGTTTGATCCACTTTTTAATAAACAGTCACGTCTAATTTTTCTGCTGTCTGCTGCTGAGAGACAGACAGGAGATAGAAAATTTCCTCCAGAGCCAACTTTAAACACATAACAATAAATTTAAATCTCATTTATTATTACAAGATAATGATGTTAAACTAAAACTCTGACACAAATGATGGCAGGTGGTATGCATTCCTTCAAGAAATTTTGGACTTTTTATGTTTATTTTGCAGCACGTTATTGAACACAATGTCGAAAACCCAAACTTTGGCCTATAGCTGTCTTGCCAGGTTTTCTATGAGTTTTTAGACAAAGCTAACTTTTATGATCAATGAATCAAATCAAACAAACCAAGAAAAGAGATATCTAAATAAATATCTCTAATTATAGCAGTAAACGTGTAATATTCCCCTGCAGGGTGTGTTACCTTCTGAGGTGGAGGGCTGTGTAATCCTGCCACAGAAAGCAGAGGGCTGGACGAGGAGTCATCAGAAGATTCAGATGAATTCGGCCACAGAGTTCCGTTATTTGGATGATCTTTGGAAGGAAGCGAACTCTAAAATAGAACAGAGAACTTTAAAAGGCTGCTCCTGTCAGACACACAACACACATTTATGCTACAAGAAAGTTATGAGCAATCCAGCCTGCAGAAAAAAAAACTTGTACACAGAACTCCCAGTAAAAAAGAAAAAGGTATTTTTAATTTATTCACTTTGCTTAGAGGCAACATTTTAAATTTTACTCTTTTTTGTTTTTTTTTTTGCTCTTTATCTTAAGGTCAGTTATTGAAGTGAGTTTTGTTGCAATGAAATGTTGCAGTGAGTTGTTGTTGCAGTGAAATGTTGCGGTGAGTTGTGTTGCAGTGAAATGTTGCAGTGAGTTGTGTTGCAGTGAAATGTTGCGGTGAGTTGTGTTGCAGTGAAATTTTGCAGTGAGTTGTGTTGCAGTGAAATGTTGCGGTGAGTTGTGTTGCAGTGACATGTTGCAGTGAGTTGTGTTGCAGTGACATGTTGCAGTGAGTTGTGTTGCAGTGACATGTTGCAGTGAGTTGTGTTGCAGTGACATGT